TCTGTCTCTGTGTGTATAAAGAGACGAGAAATTTGTTGAAAGTCAGAGGAAGTGGTGTCCAAACTATAATTGCCAAAACATCTATTGGGAAAGAAATGTTGCCTTTAATAGCAGTGATTTTGACGTCTATTCCAACACTAATCCATTCAACGGATACATCGGAATTCACTCAACAAAATAATAGATTTGCATTCAATCTGTTAAATGTTTTGCCGCTAAATCAAAATCATTTCTTCTCTCCTCTAAGTATCAGTCATTCCTTATATATGTTATTAAACGGAGCGAACGGACGGACAGAGACTGAATTGAAGGCATTGTTCAATATTCACACAAATGGTATACAATAATTATAGTCAAAATATTTGCTATCAATAGGAAATTGCATTAATTTTTCACACTTTTAGAAACTCTTCAGCCAATGAATGAGAACATTAAAAGTACATTACATTTAATAAATAGTAAAAATTCCAACGACTCAGTTATCCGTTTGGCAAATCGTGTTCTCATATCAAACATATATAATTTGACCGAAAGTTATAACAGTGTTATGAGAGACACATTCAATGCGAGCGTCGATTCGGTTGACTTCACTCAAAACGCCGACAATATTACCAATAATATTAACGATTGGATTAGAGAACAAACAAATGGCAAAATTGATAAACTTTTCGATACGTTAGCCAACGATACCCGGTTTGTCATCACAAACGCCCTGTACTTCAGCGCCGTTTGGGATAAGCCCTTCGACCCGTACTCCACAACCGATGATGACTTCTATGGCATCAATAAGACAGCGAAAGTGCTTTTCATGAGACAGGAGACAAAATTTCGCTACACTTTTGATCAGCAATTAAACGCATCGCTCATTGAATTGCCTTTCATTCATGAGAGCAATATATCAATGATTATTGTAATGTGTTTTCGTTTATGTTGTAAATAATATTTACCAAGAATTGTTTACTGACAGGTATTTCCCAACAACACGAATGGCTTCAATAATACAATTGAAAAGTTGGTTTCACTATCACTTAATGAGAGACTCAAAAATTTATACAATTCAGACAAAAGACAGCTCAAACTAAGGGTCCCTAAATTTAATTTGGAAACAAGTAATTGTTTAATATTTTGCTTTGATTTGAATTAAATGGTTTAATTTGTTGTCATTTCAATAACTTCGCCAACAGGTTATGATTTAAAGCATCCGTTAAGACAATTGGGACTAAACACGGCGTTTGAGTCGAGCGCCGACCTCTCGGGCATTACTGGCGATCGTAATGTCAGAGTTTCTGAAGCCATACATAAGGCTGTATTCAAAGTGACTGAAGTCGGGGCCGAAGCGTCGGCCGCCGTCGGCATTGTTGGCGTCCCTCACATATGGATACCACCGCTTGAGGTCACGATTAACAGACCTTTTGTATTCATAATCCGTGATAACAATACAGGTATAGTCTTATTCGTGGGTCAGGTGTTTGATGTTTGAATTATTTCTAAATGTATTAATTATTTATTTTCTGTCTTATATTTTATGATTAAATAAATATTAATTCAATATTTTGAGAATAAAGTGAATATTATTTTCTAATTAAACAAAGATATGTTTCACAATAAAAAATGTATTAAAAATGAAACAATTAATTTTAGTGTCAAACAGACAAAGACCTTCAAAAGCATTGTATTTTGTATATTATTTGCAACACTTTATTATAAATTGACGGGAAATAAAAAAATATTTGATGAATAAGTGATGTGAGAATTGTTTGAAAGGAAAGCCATATCTTCTGCTGATAACACTATTTTGAATAAAAGTATTTTTAAGTATTTGAAATAAATGAAAGTATTTTTCATTATTTATATAAATTCTTGTGATATTCCGAGAAAATTATATATTAGTTCACTAATCATTACTTTCTCTAATGCTATGTCTGTTTTGTAATTATTTATATTAAATGTGAGACTTTCTGGAATATTTGAAAAACAAGTTTTTCTGTAAATTTTTTAATGTGTTTTCAAAATAAATTCAATAATTAATAGATAAATAATTTCACTGCAAATGCGAAACAAGTCGTAAAATTTCTTTGTCTTCATATTTTACTATAAATTCATGTCATTTTGTTTAAAAACTTTATATTTTCCCTTTTTTGAAGACTAAATAAGTTTACAAAAATTATCAACAAGAATATTAGTTAAAATGTTAATTATTTTATCATTTATCGCATTGTTATCTGTTGTTAATTGCGATCAAAAACACAATGACTTGATTAGTGTTAACAATAAACTAGCGTTGGATTTATTGAAGACATTCCCGACGGACGGCAATAATTTTTATTCCCCGTTAAGTATAACGACAGCCATTCTTATGGTCCTTAACGGCGCTAACGGACAGACAGAACGGGAATTGAGACAACTCTGCAATATTGGTGACAATGGTATGTGTTTTATAAATTACATTTAAAATAATATTTACAAAACAATAAATTTGTTCAGAAAATCTTCAACAACTCAACGATGAATTGAAAAACACGTTAACATCAATAGCGGGAAGCGATAACAAGGATGTAGTGATGAAATTAGCCAATCTATTGGTAGTGAAAGACTCGCCAAACTTTTCGCTGCTAAAGGATTACAAGACAATAATGACTGAATCGTTTGAGTCGAGCGTAGAATCGGTTGACTTCACTACTGATAAACAAAAGACAATCAATAAAATCAATGATTGGGTTTCGAAACAAACAAATAATAAAATCAAAGACTTGTTCAAAGAAGAGTTAAGTGACGACACGGCTATGGTATTAGTGAATGCCATATATTTCAAAGGCATTTGGCAGTACCTCTTCAATAAGAAAGACACTAAAAAGGGTGCCTTTCATGACAAGGGCGCCGATGAGGCCATTGAAGTGGACATGATGTCTATAAAGAGAAAGTTCCCTGTTAAATTTGTTAGACAATTAGATGCGTATATGTTTGAAATGCCATTCATCGGCGATATGTCCATGTTTATTGTAAGTAATAATAGTTATATCAGCAATACACTAACGCTATTAAATATTAAATTAATATATTTATGTAATAATGGTGTTTAGCTTTTACCCAATGAAGTCAATGGCTTGGATTTGATGACAAAGAAAATAACTTATAAAACATTTAACGAAACCATATTCTCAATCGTCAATAGAAAAGGACCACTCAATACACTATTGTTTCCCAAATTTAAATTAGAAACAGGTATTCAAAATCTCAATACAAACTCTTAAGTAAAATATAACAAATATTTTCTAAATATTAACTAAAATGTTAAACAGAATATGATTTAAAGGAGTCATTGAGTGCTTTGGGAGTGAATACAATGTTTGGAAATTTAGCCGATTTTTCACGTATTAACGGCAATAATGATCTGAAAGTATCGAAAGCCATACACAAGGCGTACATAGAGGTGACGGAAGAGGGGGCGGAGGCGGCGGCCGTATCCAAGTGGGTGTTAGTCACCCGTACTTTCCGACGAGATGTCATTGCCGTCGACCGGCCCTTCATGTTCGCCATCGTCAACAAGAGTTCCCGTCTTATATGGTTTTTGGGACAAATCCGTACACTTTCTTCAAATTAAAACGTGTCTTATATTTATTCACATTTTATTCACGATTTATTTGTTGAAATTAATTTTTCTTATTCTCATATAATAACTTTATTTGATGTGTTTGTGAATCACGTGTTTAGCATTCATATTAAAAGTCTAATTAAAAATATTCTAATTAATTATAAATGTTGTTATCGTTGCTGTAAATAAAAAACATCAAAGTTAAATACAATGCATTCAAATGTATTACTAGTTTATTGTCTTTTGGCACTCAATTGTAAATTGAAATTTTGTAATGAACTCAACAATAACGAGACGGACGCCACAGAAACGACAGAAAATCTTCAGCCATTAAACCTATTGAGGAAATTGACAGAACTTATACTTCCAAAGGTATGGAAATATTCATTCAATAGGAATTCACAAGAAAGTGAAGATCAATTGGAACCGATAAACGCCAACTCTTCAGCAATTAATTCCCATAACAATGAAACGGGACGGAGATCTCCGCCCAGAAACACAACCGATTTATCCAATATTATCGCAATAGTATCGATGCAAGTCTTGCAATCAGTAATCAAGAATCTTATTTCACACAAATCAGAGACTATGCAACCAAATGACACCAAAATACCACTCATCGACTCTCATCTAAACCCAAACGTTTTTAACAACAATATAAATAGCAATTTGAGTTCTCTTAACAACTCTAATATCAAATCCAATAGTAATAAGAAGTCTACAAATGCAATCAAAGGAGATATACATTCAAAGAATTCATTGAAACCTATTGGAAAAGATATGAAAAATGTACATGACAAAATCGCCGACAAATTACACAACAAACAAACAACAACTGAATCAATGAGATTGTTGTCCAACGGATCAGTTATTAATTTCAATATATATTCAATAAATGGCAGTCTTTTAAATCTAACCCGAGTCGATGTCACTAACCTAACCTCTAATAGCACTCCAGGTATAACTACAACTATTTTACTTATCATAACTTATAAAATGTTATTTCTTATCAATTTATGTTTGTTTTATATAAAAATTGTAGTAAAAGTCGACAATAAGACACACGAAAAGAATGAAAGGAAATTCATGTCATTTGAAACACTAATTTCCGGTAATAAGAGCGAGGAATTGTACGAATGGTATAGCTATACATTGATCGGTCTCTTTACGATCACATCCCTGTTGTTATTGACATTGATTTACATGAAATGCATGCGAAATACTGTCACTCATGGGACAGAGTTTGATGGATATGTGGAGGGATCGGGTGTCGGACCCAAACACGAAGTCAAAGGACTCCTCAAACAATCGGAGGACGACTTTGAGACCGATTCGTTAAAACTTAGTTTACCTAAGAATAGGAAACACACAAAGTTTGAGAAAATTAAATATTATTTCTTTAATTAAAATTCAATCATCAAAAATAATTAACTTCACTGTATTTCATATTGAATGCTATAATACACACATATTGTACATGTATTTTATTAATTAAACTATAAAATTTATTTCAAAACAAATTTCAAACATTGTAAGCAATACATATTTTGTTGTTGTTTTTAATTTTATTAACTAGGGTAATCGATAAAGCTTAAGCCTCCTATAGATTTAATACATGTAGAATAGGATTATTATTATAGTGAAATAATTAGGTAATTAAATTTTTCTAACTGGCTGAAAGTAAAAATATGCATGGTGAAAAGTAATAATCCCAATTTGACAAAACCTGGAATGTTGACTCAAATAATAAAAATGATTTCATTATTCTACCTCATTTTATTCTATAGAAAGCTTAAATATTATCATTTACACTAATAAACCTATGCTAAATATTATTTTAATAATAATCTAATTAATTAAATTGTCATTTATTTGCAAATGTTTTTTAAACAAATGTTTTGCTAAAATAATAATGAATTTTTATTTTCTAAATTCATAATAGGTTTTCAAATACAAGACAACTTATCACCATATTTTGCAATTAAATCTTATAACTTATGATTTTTAATAAAATATTTAAAATATTTTCGGTGTTATATTCTGTAATTGAATTCACTGAAAGTAACTGTATTTTAAGAAAGTAATTTAATACCTTTTATTAAACAAATAAGTGCCACGTATTCCAGAAGTTTCTTTTTATTAGTTTTAGTCATTTTAAAACAGTTTATAAGTAACAAATCAATCAGTAAAACAAAACAGATTTGTGTGTCATTAGAGTTAATCAAAAATGTTTCTCAAACTATTGGTCGCATTGTATTTAATGGTGAATATTGGGCTAACTTTGACCCAAAATATCGAAAACCATACAAATGCCGCAAATGTTAAGCAAAATGAGGCAAAACCAGAGACAAAGAATGTCGAAACACAGGCCCGAAGAACACCGTTTGAAGATTTCTTTGGATTCCCGCTGTTTCCACATATCCCACAGATTCCGCTCATCCCTAGCGTAAGGCATGAGCCCTTCAATATGGGCAACATATTCGCCAATCATCAGAGAGTTATGGATAATATGGACAAAGTGTTCGCCGAACAGGACAAACGAATGAGGGAAGACATGGCGAATATGCATCAAAGTATGGCTAAGATCTTCCCAACAGAACATAAGCCACAACAGCCACTCTCGTCGTGGTTTCACACAGAGATTCCCCACAAGAATGAGCCCAAAGAAGTGCCACAAACTGATGGCACTTCTTCTTCTTCTTCAGGACTTCCAGTCTTCCACCCGCACAACGAGTCAAAGACCGACACCAAAGATATTCCGCAACAGATAACCAATGTTTTGGATAAATTGAGACCACTTTTCAATAGACCAGATAACAGTTCAGAGAAGCCGTTGATAATCGACATTACCATTCAATCGGGTGATAACGACACAGATTTCAACGTAACGAACGGACGTCATATGCAAGAACTTCATTCACCTTTCGTTAAGATAATGGACAGTATGTTTGATTCGTTCACCAAAACTGTTGGATCTATTATTGAGAATACGTTTGCCATTGAAGACAAGAATTCAACAGAACTGAACGGAACCGATGCGGAAAGTCATCACGAAATGCTAGTGAGAGGGCCGTCGAGTGCGGGATGGGTTGGTATTCATGTGATGGAATGCAAGTGTCCGGAAGCCAAGTCTGGAAAACACGAGGAAAAGTGTCCGATGCATGACCACAATAAACAAGGTATGAGTCTTGAGGCGAAAACATCGGGTAATGGAGGTATGAATACAAATATAAATCAAATGTTAACTTCTTTTCAATATAAGAAGAATCGGAGCAAAAGAGCCGCTGGTCTATAATGGAGGCGTTGAGACGTGAGGGCCAAATGCTGTTCGGTAGCCAACCCGTGACGGAGGCATCAGTGGCTCCCGTAACCATCGAAGAGCGTATACGACATGAGATCAAACTGACCACAGATAGTGACTACGAGTGGTACGACTATTGTCTGGTGTCGCTCATCGCCATCACATCTTTGCTTCTGTTTGTGATGGCGGCCGTGCTTTGCATCAATCGCACCAAACGGACCCGAAATAAGGCCCGAATCACCGAAATTGTGGCCAAACTCGAGGGCCAAAAGGACGCCGAGAATAACGACACTTCTGTCAAGAATGAAAACTTCTGCAATAATGGCGTCGAGAAAATTAAGGCTATATTTGTTAACATGAAGTGAATATTACATATTATCGCAGATTTTCAATACTATTTAAGTCTATTTTATAAAATGTTGTAACAATTCTTGGGATAAAATACTTTTGAGACAAATATAAAAAATAATTGCAACTTTTAATATTCAAATATTTACCGTATATTCAATAAACAAAAATAATTATTAAGTATGTTGTGAATTACATTCTAGTATATACTGTATTTTGAAAATACAAAACAATTATCATATATAACGTGTAGTTGTTGTAATCTATCAATTGTGATTTTGCGCTTAAAACTGATTATATTTATCACGTTTTTTATATTAAATATCAATAATTTAGAAAAGAAAGTATAAAATAGACTCAAAACGAACAGATTGCGAATAATAAGCATAGATTACACATTAGGTTTCAAACGAAGGCAATGGTTATAAGAGACTGTATTTCCATGAGTCGTTTGAAATACCAATCTTGATATACTGGACGAGAGCCAACCGTTTGCTTTCACAGTCGCGATAAACGCCCTGAACTTTGCGTTTCATATACTGTATGTCCTCTTTGGTGATGACCGCCGCCTCACTGACCAACACTTTGGACAAACTATTAGTCGTGTTCTCCAACTGTTTTAAGTGGTAGTCGTATTGATTGATCACTTGCTGTTCATTCTTCGCATAATATCGGAAAACGTATGAATACATGAGTGTCTGTCGGCAGTGACAGAGGACAGTGAACGCCGACTTTAGGAACTTGAGGGCCGACCGAACGTTTTGACACTTCACTTCGCGCTCCAACTTTTTGGTCACCCCTTCCTGAAGGTTGCGCTCCAGAGATAGCTTTTTGTGTTGATTCTGGTAATTGTCTCTGAACTTGGGGTACTCTTTCATATCGCTCTTCAACATGTGATCGGTCGCCTGCGCCTCCTGAGCGTCGGTCGCGTTTTGACCCAAACACCGGCCGTGAGAGCATCGGCCCAGACATTGGTAGCAGAACTGGTGGCGACATTTGCTGCACAGCACGTAATTACAGCCGCCATTCTTCTCGATCGGAAACTTACACTTCGGACAGCATTTGGTATGTTTTGTGAGCCAATTGGCGGACTTCGGGTCCACCGTTTGGGACGCGTACTTCTCGGCCCAGTTCTTGTAAAGATCGCAAGTGAGCGGTTCGTGCCATTGATCGCCGCATTTGAAACAGAATACAGTCTTACAGATGCACTCCACGTCTTGAGGGCCGGAATTCTTGACCCGAACGGCGTGCAGACAATCGCCATTCGGACACCAACGCAAGTATCGGCTCTCGGATGTGACAAACTTGTTGGATATGAGGCGCCGGTACTTATCGCACACAATGGGCTCACGAATGATACCAATAATGTCGTCGTCATCTATAATGCGGGAACAGTTATCTCCGGGACAAGTGATGTAGTCGTCGCTGGAGGCGTCCTTCACGTGAGTGGCAATGTATTGGTTCCAGCAGTCGATACACAGGCAGTGATTGCATTCGGCGCCAAACGTATCGGATTTGTTGATCTCATCAAAACAGACCAAACATTGCTTCAGATCTGTATTGGCGGCGGTGTTGTCGACGCCGCCGACCGCGAGTCCATTCCCTCCGGTGATGACCGATGCGACCACATTCTCTTTAGTGCTCGTCTGAGTCATTAGCTTGTGTTGAGTTTTACGTCGTTTACCATTGCGTCGGGGCTTTGGCTCGTAATTGATGACACATTTGAAGTGTTTGAGAACCGCTTGAATGCCGACCTGAAGTACGTTATCGGCGAAGCCGTTGCGATTCCACTCATATTTGTTTAATAGTATACGAATAGTTGTGAATGAGAGGTGAGTCGTGTCTTGGATTTGTTTCAGATTAATTCGCATAAAATTGATCACATCTTCTGGAGTCAGTATTTCGGATAACACTTCGATTTCGGAATCAATTTCAATGGGTTTGCTGTAAAACTTCACTTTAATTATCTCCACATCATTGGCGTCGTTGTGGACATCTGCGGGGTTGACGTCATCGTCGCTCAAGTCGTCTAAAGTTATAAACGAGTGCTCAATAGTCTCCACATTGAGGGCCGAGAGATCCAGAGAATCACAGTCTAAATCAATTGACAAATTGTCAGCAAATATGTGGTTAACTCTGTTAAGGCATACCTATCGTTTGGATATGGTTTGGTTTGCGGACATTAATACCGCTACCGCTGGGACCGGCGTCGACGGAATCGATATATATTACATCTAAACATTCAATACAAATATTAAACAACAATCGATGAAACCGTTGATCAATACCTGAGTCCGAACTGAGTTCCTGCGAGCCATCATTCACGGCGTTATCCAAGCGGTCGCTCACAAAGCTATTCATTGCATTCAAATTCAAATCGTTGGCCATTTCATTGACGTAATCGTCTCTTTCGTACATCCATTTGCCAATCGAGTGATTAAACGGTTGTAGAGTTGTATTATTGGTGTCGTTATTATTTAACGATAAATTAATTGGAGTTTCATTGTTGGCATTCGTTGTATATAATCGGTTGTCTTCAGCGGTTGCTATTCAGACAAACATAACAATTAAAACACAAAATACGTGCAAAAATAGCGCAAAAAATCGAGACTAAAAAACATTACCATTTAAGACATGGAAAGGGGTGGCGATCGACGCCGAAGCTCTTGGACTATCACTTGGAAATGACATATCGAGTGCTGTTCTCATCGTGTCTATGATATGGACACACAATATGGGATACAAAGAGTGTGAGAAAAGTGCGACAAAATTGGGCAAATGATATCAATTAAAGGGAAAACTCATTGAAACGGTTTAATTTCATTAACATATTAAACAGATGTATTGATTAACAAAGTTTATTAGTCAAAAAACAAGTTATTTAACAGTAATATTAATATAAAATACATTAATAACTAACTCGTTATCAAAGAAGCACTAAATTATAAGACTTTTTGAGGCAATACAAGGCCTGAAAATTAATAACAAGTTTTGCCGATAAAGTGTGGATTTCAAGTGGAAAAATAACACTACTTTTCTAAACCATAGCATTTGTTTTATTATACAACTCTTTTTGCTATTATTCAGCCCTTGATTACACTATAAGGCGTTTATTATACAACAATTAACAGCACTTTTGTCATTGTTTAAGTGAATAACAAAGTCTAATATCTATGCGAACATTGAGCGCAAAATTACTACATAATAATTGCGAGTTTTGATAACATGCGAGACATTGAATTACAAACTGTACTGTATATTGACATTAGATTAGAGATACACAGCCATACACTTCACTCACGCCATCAAAATCTATGGGAAAAATCAAATCTCAAACAAACATACGTAACGTTAAAGCGATAGTCAAAACCACAGGAACTCTGTATTAGAGGCGAAAAAGTGCACATAATTTTCATTTCAATGCTATTTTCATATTTATATGACGGCAACAAATACTGCATTTCACGCGTTATTCAATACATATGCAAATCAAAGTCTAATTCATTGATTCATTCACTAATGTCTATGAATTGACACATTTTTCTCTCTCAACAAAATGCTATTTATTTAAACCCAATCTTCAGATCATATGTTAAGGCAATGACGGGTCAGTTATACTTACAGAAAGGCAACACTAATTATATGGCCATCGATTAGCTCATCATTGGGTCCGCAATAAGCATACCATCAGCTCTTTGTTCACCACATCTGTACCACAAATAGACAATAGGTTTGAATGGATTAGACATTGAAATGAGTAGCAAATTGTTGGGACATTGAGTGCAATGTTTCACAACATATTTTTATATACATCTATATGTCATTTCGATGGCAACTAATTTACGGCACATTTGCATGACTTTCAACGCAAAATCAAATGTCAAACACGTAAACAATATTGCAATCAAATGGCAATTATATGCCTTAATTTAGACTATGATTTACAGCCAATGTGTTTGAGATATAATTAATGCAAACAATACTTACGATTACAATACGAGAGACAATCAAAAAAAGCAAAACGTGTTTTACAATTGATTTGAGCACTGATTTTGTATATAATAATCGTAACAACAAATACTAAAACACATATAACTGTTAGACATGTATTGCGAGACAAAGCATACGCTTATAAAGTGCTTATAATTTGTGTTAATGTTTGGTATAAACAAATCCAATGTCTTTTAATGGACAAAACGGATGAACCGATCGTTTATTAAGCAATCAATGACTGAATCAAACGATTGACAAAATCATTAATTCATTAAAACACATGAAAAATGCATTAAATAGTAGTAAAACTCAATCATTGAATGCAATGTGTATTCAATTGAATGTGTATTGAATGCAATGTTTTGGTCACACAATCAAAAGGTAAACACATTTTACTGCAAATATTTCATGATTTTGATTGCGTTACCACTAATGAAGCGCACATTAAGCATATTTTGGGGCCCAGTGTTCAACGCGTACTTACAACATATGTCTACCAACTATAGGCCCGTAATATGTATTGTAAAGTTTTTATGGCCTTTTAAGTTTCGCTATTGGTTTTTGTTAGGTTTTATTCACTGATAACGTAACTCAATAAACGGTATGCATTATATGACCCTTTATATTAAATTTTGTACTCATTTAAACACTTAATTATTATAGCATTTATAACTTAATTCATTCAAAATCATTATAAAATTTACACCAAATAGTAGTCACTTATAGACAGGACTAGAGATTTACTCAAACACTATACACACAAAAACAGAAAATTTTGTTAATACCTAATATGTGGAAAAAATTGATGAAAATTTTTAATTAAATAATCAGGGATTAAATAGAGACAACTAATGGTGTGATTTAATAGGTATTGACTATTTTGCTGTTAAATATAACTCAAACATTGGGTTCAGTAAACTATTTGTCTATAAGAAACTATAGGCAAGTAATAAATTAAATGTTGAATTCCTATAGTTTTTATTTTGAAAATAATTGTTTGATTTATGAAATACGAGAATATATTGAAGAATTAGGGAATTTGTTTGAATGGTTTCCTTCAAAACACCGTTTGGTGTATAATGTAATCGGCGTTTAGATATGGGATTGAGTGCCAAATTGGCATTCATTGCATACTATTGTAGACACGCTTATTATTGTATAGCCCTGTACTCTATGGCACATCGCT